TGCCTCAGTTTTGCACCTTGAAAAACGGACACAAATGCAAATAGTGACCTCGGACCACTCAACCAGACAGCTGATTTAGCTAAATAGCTTTGGGATGTTCATGTTTCTTTGTTCCAAAGCGATAAGATATGGCAAAGTGTCTGGAGAAGGGAAGATGATTGCGTTAAATCTGGCCCTTCTGTCACTGAGATCCAGAGACCCTTTCCTCCTTCAGGCATTTCCAATTCTCTCTTATTACAAAACCCCAAAGCTTCAGAGACTAGGAGAATTTATGCAGTGCATCATAAAAGCAGCAGTGATTAATATTAAAGTGATTAATATTAACCAAGGAAAAGAGAAAGGAAAGCGATGGTGCATCTAACATTCCCCTTCTTCTTCCTTAGGCAGTTTGAGGCGCGAGCTGTAACACCGGAGAGCAGATTTAGCCATCCTTCATCATAGCGTGCAGAGGAGATACTTGAAGGTGCTGCAGAGACCGAGGCTGCTGCAGGGACGTGGGAGATGCGCTGCCATTAGCAGTTCACGGAGCTCTGCCCATGGAGCTGCTGGCAGAAACGGCGCGTCTGGGTACGGGCCAGTGCCCCAGGAGGGGTGAGGAAGGTGTCATAGGTGGGATGCAGGTGCGGGACTTGCCTGCTGGGGAGGGCTTCGGCCTTGCTCTGATTTTTTACGATTAGCCTATCCTAAAGCAGGTTCAGGGGCTGTAGCTAGCCTGAGGAAGAGGAGAAGGGAGAGCAGAAGGAAGAGGAGGAGGAGGTCGCAGGGTTTTACAGGCTGAGCAGCTGCCAACGCAGAAGGGGAGACCCCGGCTAAGGGCAGCAATAGCTCCTCATGCCACATTCAGGTGCGGACAGAGCAGGAGCTAGTCACAGCGTACGGATGCTGGGCTGCAGGCGGAGGACCGTGTCGTCCCATGGCAGAAGGATCCGGCGGACAGGAAGGGCTCGGGGGGTAGCTGCTGGGTATCTGAAGCTCTTGATCATATTTTAGCATGGGCTCATAGGAACAGGAAGGGCAAGGTGAAATATTCCTATTGCTGCTTCAGCCTAGGCACCATTTACATTGCAAAATGCTTTGATGATCCTTCGGGCAGTGGTTTCCTATGCACAAAGCATCCTTCGCTCCTGAGCACCTCGGTGCCCTCCCAGCTCAGCGCGGCCCACGTGGGCAGGCTAGAATAACCAACCTTGCTGCCGCTGGGAGGAGAGCTGACACACTGCGTAAAACTGACAGCTTTAATTTATACACTTCTGTATCTTTGTCCACGTTCTTGGGAGCTTATGCAAACAGGAAAGGGAGCAATGTTCACACATATCCTTAGAAGTGGCTATGACCACTCTAATCTGCAAAACACACAGGGTTAGGCGATTGCAACCATATATGGCCTCCTCGGGGCTGGAGCACTGCCTCGGAGCAGGGCTGGCACCCTTGTAGGAGGACAGCCGGTGGAATTTCCTACAAAAGGCCAACTAAGATAGACCAAATCCTTCTGTATATATGCCTGTCTAAATATTGGACAACAAATTCAAGGCTTAGCTACCCTGGAGTCCTGAACCTCACAGAGCCTCCCACAGTCATTATGGGATCTGGTAGCCCCCAGGCCAGGCTCTAAGCACCCATCACGGACTGTAATGGTGCTTTTCCTCAGTCCAGCCAAGATGGCCTATGTAAGGGCTTCATGTCCCAAAGTAATGTGCTCCAGAGCCCATGACAGGCTTCAATTCTGCTGTCCTGGCTTCAGCAACTCCTGTCTCAGCCCCACCCCTGATATCTCACCTCCAAAGCAGCCAACCCACCAAGGCCTTGCATTGTTATCAGGCTGGGAGCCTTCATGGATGTTGGGATCACCATGGCGTCTTGCTGCTTTCCCTTCAGCCAAATTGCAACAGGGCAGAAGTCAAGGCCCTGGGGACCAGACCGTTGCTGATGCTGCCACACTTGCCTAGAGCCCACTGCTCCCACCAGCAAGGGGCAAGGCTGCTTCTGGCATTAACGTGGCTGAAGGTACCAGGTGAGTTATAAACGCCTCCGTATTAAGTGACACCCACCGCACTCACGGCTCAGCAGAGGAAGAGGAAATCAGCGGGCGCAGGTGGTGCTCGTGCGGGGCAGCTCCGGCCAGTGTTGCTATGCTCGCACTGGACACAGAGGATACACAAATATTCCCGCTGCCTCTGCGTTCTCTCACTGGCTTGGCAGATTTCATTGCAATCGTCAGCAAGAACACCGTTTCTTCATTTCCCCACTCCTTGCCTCGCCTTCCAATTATTCGCCAATCACAGACACATATGGCCAAGATATTTTTTGTAGTTTAATATTATAAAAACGTAGTTGGGCCCACAAGTACCTGAAAGGTACTTCTACCTCCACCTCTCCTCTTATCTTGCCAAGATGTTTCCTGCAGAACGCACTGCACGTCTGGCAGCCAGCATGGTTTTGGGGCTGTGACGGGCAGAAGCCAAGCAGAGAGAAAAGTCCTCTTGCAACAGAGCAAACAGCCATCATGAGCACAAATTGCATGCAGATGACAGTCTTCCCCCAAAGCCCATGAGAGTCTCAGGCTGATGCAGCTCCTCAGGTGCAGGGAGCGGGCTCACTTGGGCCCGTTATGGGCTGCTGATTTCAGGACCTTCACCTTGTTGCAGCTGAGGTAGGACAGGAGGAGGCGCTTAGGAGCATATTGAAAGGACCAAGTAAGAACAGATGGGACTCGTTACTGCTGATGAGCAGTGAAATTTCACTTCTTCCTCATGCATGTGACCCTGGGGAGATCTTGTTTTGCAGTGCATGTGTCCTGCAGAAGCAGCACTCAACCCCTGGTGCTGTTTACAGCTCAAAGCCTGCAGATGGGGGGAAAGCTTAGGGCAGGGAGCCTGGGGAGAGAGGCAGCACCATGCAGGAAGGTGGCCGTGCAGACGTGGAGCTGGGGGGGGGGTCTGAGACAGCTCTGACCCTTGTCAGCAGCACCGGCGAGGGCTGCATCTCCCACGTCCCACCTCCGAGGGGCTAAAACTGGCCTCACAACCAGCTCGTCAGCAGCAGCCACACGCTCCTGCTTCTAAAAGCCTAACAGAAGAATTACCAATGAGGGGAGCAGCTGGCTTTAAAGGGAAAAGCAAGGTGCAGAGTAGAGACCCAGTGTCGGAGCACAAGGTCACCTCCAGACACCCAGGTGCTGCTGCCTACCCCAGGTTCCCCGCTGAGAGAGCTGGGTCCAGCCGGCTGCTTACCGGCCTTTCCAATATTGCCATCTAGAGGACCCACCAAGGACCAGGGATGCTGCAGGCGCCGATGAGGTAGGAAAGGAGATTCAAAAGCTTGCCTTCTCCCTTGGCCTCGCGTAAAGGCTTTGCAAAGCCGAGCAGACGCGACCGTCTCGTTTTAGTTACGTGCCCGAGTACAGCCAAGGTCCTGGGCCGGACGGCGCGCGCATCGGGGTTAGCCGCGTTTGTCCTGGTTGTCGGGATTTTGAGGTGTGAGAGCTACCTGGGGAAGCAGTGTTATTTCATGGTGGGGGGGGAGTGCATCTCCTGTCCCGCTCCTGGGACTCCCAGCAGCACTGCAGACGCGACCGTCTCGTTTTAGTTACGTGCCCGAGTACAGCCAAGGTCCTGGGCCGGACGGCGCGCGCATCGGGGTTAGCCGCGTTTGTCCTGGTTGTCGGGATTTTGAGGTGTGAGAGCTACCTGGGGAAGCAGTGTTATTTCATGGTGGGGGGGGAGTGCATCTCCTGTCCCGCTCCTGGGACTCCCAGCAGCACTGGCCGCCCGCGTGGC